CCATCCCAAAGGTCCAGGGGATGGAAACAATGAGAACTCAAGCTGTTCTTGGGGTTCTTGAGAGAATCTTGACAATTCTGGGGGCTGCCCTGTGCAGGGCCAGGAGCTGGACTCTGATGATCCTTGTGGGTACCTTCCCACTCAGGAGGTCCCAGAATTCTGTGGTTCTGTGTCGCCCATGCTGTGTTTTGTGCCTCTACCCCACCTCATGAGGTGCCCAGGGGATGTTGAAGTTGCCCCTAAGCCTGAGGCTCCAGTGCTTCTCCAGGTGGAGAATGTCACCGGAGCCCCTCTGGTGTCACCTCTGGGTGGACGTGTCTGCAGAGCATCCCCGTGGTGCCCCTTGGTGCATCCCCTCTGCTTCCTCCTCCCCGACCAAAATAGCCTGAAATGGGAAACTGAGGGGGCCATGCTGTGAACTGGAAGGGGGAACTTCTCAGCTTCAGGAAAAAACCCCACAATGTCAGAGGAGTTTTCAGCCTTCCTGGTTCCCCACAAGCAGGCCTGGGGACACACTTTTTGCCATGATGCTGCCACCCACCAGGAAGGAGGCTTTATTAATTATAGACTAATTAATTACAGGCTGCAGAGCTGGGTGGAGAGAGGTCTAAGGGGGTTCAACAAGGGCAGGTGTAGGATCCTGCACCCGGGGAGGAACAACCCAGCACGGGCTGGGGGTGACCCCGCTGGAGAGCAGCTCTGCAGAGAAGCACCTGGGGGTCCTGGTGGATGACAAACCGTCCCTGAGCCAGCAGAGTGTCCTGGGGCCAGGGGGACCCTGGGGGGCATCAGAGGAATGTGGCCAGCAGGGCAGGGAGGGATCCTGCCCCTCTACTCAGGGGCACACATCTGGGCTGCTGTGTCCAGGTCTGGGACAAGAAGGACAAGGAGCTACTGGGGAGAGTCCAGTGGAGGCCCCAGAGATGATTTGGGGTCTGAAGCATCTCTCTGACACGGAGAGACTGTGGGAGCTGGGCTTGGTTAATCTAGAGAAGACTGAGAGGGGATCTCACCAATCCATACAAGCATCTCCAAGGGGTATCAGAGGATGGTGCCAGACTCTGTTCTGGTGCCCAGCAACAGCACAAGGAGCAGTGGCCATAAACTAAACCACCAGAAGTCCCACATCAACATGAGGAAGAACTTCTTTCCATGAGGGTGGCAGAGCTCTGGAACAGGCTGCACAAAGACTCAGGGGCACACATCTGGGCTGCTGTGTCCAGGTCTGGGACAAGAAGGACAAGGAGCTACTGGGGAGAGTCCAGTGGAGGCCCCAGAGATGATTTGGGGTCTGAAGCATCTCTCTGACACGGAGAGACTGTGGGAGCTGGGCTTGGTTAATCTAGAGAAGACTGAGAGGGGATCTCACCAATCCATACAAGCATCTCCAAGGGGTATCAGAGGATGGTGCCAGACTCTGTTCTGGTGCCCAGCAACAGCACAAGGAGCAGTGGCCATAAACTAAACCACCAGAAGTCCCACATCAACATGAGGAAGAACTTCTTTCCATGAGGGTGGCAGAGCTCTGGAACAGGCCGCACAAAGTAGCTGTGGAGTCTCTGCCCAAGAGAGGGAGATTCCAAAACCCACCTGGATGTGTTCCTGTGTCACCTGCTCTGGGTGACCCTGCCTTGGCAGGGAGTTGAACTGCATGATCTGGAGAGGTCCCCTCCAAGCCCAACCATTCTGTGAAACAAAAATTCTATTTTCAACATAGATCAAGTGACCAAAACAGCTCAGAGCAGGAAAATCTCCTCACTGCTTTCATTCTCACACTGTCCTGGCCACAAATGCCTGTGGAAAACCAGCAAGGCCCATCCCGTCCCGTCCTGTCCCATCCCATCCCACCCCTCCATCACTTGGCTTTGCTGAGCCACCAGCAGCAGCAGAGCGAAGCTCAAAGGTTTAATTACAATTGTTGACAGGGAAATTACGGCCACAGATGCAAAATTAGAATATAATTGTGTTAGGGAAATGTTTCATCTTCTCCCTGTCATCCCCGGGAGCGGAAGGCAGAGGGGGAGCAGCAGGAGAGGGATGGTGTTGGTGGGAGGCCTCACAGTGGGGGGAGTGACAGGGCTGGGGGTGCTGGGGGGTGACACCAGTCCCGAGGGCCACTGAGCCCAGAGGAAATGCAGCAGAAGGTGGTGAATGGCTCCTTTTTACAGAGCAGCAGTGACGAGGCAATGCTTGCCTTCCTTCACCTAGAGCTGGAGAGGGACTGGGGACAAGGCCTGCAGGGACAGGACCCAGGGAATGGCTGCCACTGCCAGAGGGCAGGGCTGGATGGGATCTTGGGCAGGAATTGTTCCCTGGCAGGGTGGGCAGGCCCTGGCACAGGGTGCCCAGAGCAGCTGTGGCTGCGCCTGGATCCCTGGCAGTGCCCAAGGCCAGGTTGGACAGGGCTTGGAGCAGCCTGGGATGGTGGAAAATATCCCCCCCCAGGACATGAGCATGGAACAAGATGAAGTCTAAGGTCCTCTTCACCCAAAGTGTTCCATGATTTTATGATTCCTTGTGCCTTGGACCAGCACCTCACTGCCATCCCACACCCCCATCCTTGCTGAATTGGGGCAGGGACCATCCTCACCCGTGGGATGATCCATCCCTGATGACAGGAGGTGACTTTGGTCAGTGACCCCATTTAAATGCGGGCAATTCTTTCCACTTTAAAAAAAAGAAAATAAAAGCCAAATGGCCCAAAGCTGCAGGTGACAGCTGGCCCCAGATCTGGCTGCAGAGGGGTCAGGCACAGGGAAACCCAAACCAGCACTGCTGACAGATGAGATTGGAGCTGCCTGGGCAGGGCAGGAGAAGCAGCTTTTGCCAAGGAGAACAGCCCAGCTCCTCCAAGATCCCTGTGTTGGGATCCAGGGTGGATGCAGGGAGAGGAGGTGAACCCCTGCCCACACCTGCTGCAACCACGTGTTTGTGCCGCTGTTCCTGCACCTCATGAACCACGAGTGACTGGTAAAGCACCATCCCTCCACCCTCACGCTGAATCCCAGCTCCTCAAAAACCCACTGGAGGTGAGTGAAGCAGCTCCCAGGACCCTGGGGAATGATACAAACTCCCTCACCCCAGAGAGCCAGGCAGACACACATTCCACAGTCCCATTGGCACCTTTGATCCCAAGCACCTGCCAGCGGCTTCCAAGTACCAGCACCGGCTGCAACAGGAAAGTAGGCAGGGAAATGGGTGGGGAGTGTGTTCTATGGGTGACACAGACAGCGGGGTCCAGCGCACTTGGTGACATAGAGCTGTGTTGTGGGGTCACACACTGGAGAGAAGGGATGGGGAACCACAGGGGCCTAGATAGGCTGGAGAGGAGGAATTGTGCCAAATCATGAAGTTCGACAAGTTCAAGTGCAACATTCTGCACATGGGTCAAGGTAAATCCAAGCAAAAGAACAGGCTGGATAAAGAACAGATCAGTAGAAGCCCTGGGCAGAAGGACTTGGGGTTGGTGGGTGAGAGGCTCAGCCTGCCCCGGCCATGGACACTGACCCAGAAACCCCCCCTGTGCTGGGCTGAGCCCCCAGCGTGGGCAGCAGGGCAGGGGGGATTCTGCCCCTGTGCCCCTGTGCTCAGGTGAGAGCCCAGCTGCAGAGCTGCCCCAGCCCTGGGGAACAGCAGCAGGAGGACGTGGAGCTGCTGGAGCCAGGCCAGAGGAGGCCACGGAGATGCTGCCAGGGCTGGAGCCCCTCTGCTCTGGAGCCAGGCTGGCAGAGCTGGGGGTGCTCACCTGGACAAGAGAAGGCTCCAGGGAGAGCTCAGAGCCCCTGGCAGGGCCTGAAGGGGCTCCAGGAGAGCTGCAGAGGGACTGGGGCCAAGGCCTGGAGGGACAGGACACAGGGAATGGCTGCCACTGCCAGAGGGCAGGGCTGGATGGGATCTTGGGCAGGAATTGTTCCCTGGCAGGGTGGGCAGGCCCTGGCACAGGGTGCCCAGAGCAGCTGTGGCTGCCCCTGGATCCCTGGCAGTGCCCAAGGCCAGGCTGGACAGGGCTTGGAGCAGCCTGGGACAGTGGGAGGTGTCCCTGCCATGGCAGGGGGTGGAACGAGACGAAATTTGAGGGCTCTCCCCACCCGACACGTTCCGAGGCGACTCCAGGACCTCACACACGGACTCTCCATCCCAGCCCCGCTGCACTGCAGGGCCCGTTCGGGGCCGGGTCTCACCGCGGAGGCCTGTGCAGGCCTCAGCGCTGGCGAGTGACCCCACAGCGGGGCTGCCCCTGCCCCACCACCCCCGGGGCTGCCCTGTGCCGGGGGTACCGCCGGCCCCAGCGCCGCGGAAGGTGCCCCCGGGGCCCCCGAGGGGGCGGCGCGGCCGGGCCACAGCCGCCACGCAGGTCCTGCCGGGCCCCTTCGGCCCCTCGGCAGGGGTTCCGGGGGGTGGCGGCTGCGAGGCAGCAGCTGCCGGGCGGGGGCTCCGGCGGCAGGACCCCCCGGGACGCCGGCCCTGCGCGCCCTGCCCCGCCGGGGGCCCCGTCGGCGGCGCGGGGGGAGCTGTGGGCGGTGACGGCACCCAGCGGCCGCCTCCGGCCCGCCGGCCCGCCCCCCGCTCGGTGGGCGGGGACCGCGACAGTCCGCCCTCTGGTTGGCCGCACCACCTGCCAATCACATCAACAGAACATTTCCATTGGTTGGGGCCCCGCTGCCTTATCAGTCCATCTCGCGGAGCTCCGGTGTCGTCACCGGCGCTGTTCGCCAAGCCGCCCGTCCCCTTCCGCTAGGAAATATAGTTCCCGCCACGGCCGTGCCCCCGCCGCGCCCCCGCGGCCCCGTTCCACCCTCCCGGACGCGGCCACGCTCGTGCCGGTTCCGCGAGGCCCGCGCGCCGCGGCATCACCTCTCCGGCTGCCCGCTGTTTGTGCGGACGGCGGAGTGATACGGCGGGGGCGGGGCGTACGGCCGCGAGTCGTGAGGGCGTGTGGGGGGAGGCGGCAGAGGCGGGCGCGGGGGGGAGTCGCCGTCGCTGCTGCCGCCGCCGCGGCCGGGGCGCACGCGCCGCCCGGTGCGGGGCGATCGCGCCGCTTCGCTACATTGTATCCGCCGGCGGCGGAGAACAATAGGCGCCGCCGCCGCCCCCGGGCCTGGGCGCCGCGGCCGCCCCCGCCCCCGCCGCGACCCCCGACACCCTTCATGCGCTTCCCCTGCCCCGGGCGCGCCGGGCCTGGAACAGGTAAAAAATAAAATAAAATGTAGAAATAATAAAATAATAACCAAGCCAAGCCGGCCGTGCCGCCCTGGGGCTGCGCGGAGAGGGGGTCCCGGCGCAGCGGGTGCGGGGGTGCCGGAGCTGTGGGTGCCGGTGTAGCGGGGCTCGGAGCGCTCGGGGTGCGGGCGCGGAGCGGGACGGGACGGGCTCGGCGCTATTGTCCCCTCGGCAAAGTTTGCCGGGGCCGGGGGAAGGGGGGTGGCAGCGGCGGGGCGGGCTC